CAATTCTGCTGGCCATGCAGGAACAGGAACTGAAGAGACCAGGGAAAAGAGACACCACATCTGGGGGGTCTCGTGTTGTCACACACTGCATTCCTGGTACACACTGGTAAGGCCAAAGAAAACACATTATGATAAAAAAGCATTGATGGCTTAATTTTTCTTATCCTCACCAAAGACATGCTTATTGATTTTAGAAAGAGTAGGAGGAAGGGAGAAAGAGAGGGAAAGAAACATCAATGGGAGAGAGAAAGATTGACCGGCTGCCTCTGACATGCACCTCAACACGAACCTGCAACCCAGGCTTGTGCCCTTACCGAGAATCAAACCTTCAACCTTCCAGTTTACAGGATGAAATTCCAACCTGCTGAGTCACACCAGCCAGGGCAACCGCTTAATTCTTATCCTTCGCACTGGTGTTTAAAGGCTATTTTTTATATGTCTTGTGGTACATGGAACAACAATTCCTATGTTCTATTCTTAGATTGGTCACTGATAAACAAAGCATCTGCCAATGGAAACAAACCTGTCAAGAGCTCAGAAATTCTAAGCTTACCATCCATAACCAGAAGGTATCTGTTTGAGTGCCTAGTGTGTGACCAGATTTGAATACTGATTTTGAAGTTACACACAGCAGCTGGTTGACCAGAATGGCAACATAAAGTCAGGCAGGTATGACACAGGAACAGGAGCCAGAGGTAGCACAGGAAAGAGGACCAGCCCAGCCAGGGCAGCAAGAGATGGAGTCCACGGCCACAGGGCACGCGTGAAGCAGTTGTGCTTCTCTTCTCCAACTTGCCTGTGCTAAGTTTCAACTCTAAGCCACACCATCCTTGCTCTGCCCACACATCTATCTCATTTGTTTCTCCCTCTCTCCCTGCCTGCATCACAGATTACTGTTCTTCCCAGAGTTACCTCTGTTACTGGAGGGTTTGTATCCTTTCCAAATCACAATGGCTGTGGTGACCCCGGAGCTGAAGCGTCGGCCTGACACCTGTGGGTATGCCTCCTCAGCCACTCCAAGTCAGTTAGAAACCACCAGAGCCAACCAGAGAGATGTGTTAGGGATTTAAGGCAGGGAAAGCTCCTTAATTCCTGAGTTTGAGAATACTTGGGGTTCAGCAGGTGAACCTATCCACTTAAAAGGAGACATACAAGACTCGGCCTTGAGAGATCTAGAAAGAAGCTGGTGCACAGTGTCACTCAGCCCTGGCTTTGTGCCCAAACCTGATCTCTTGGCTCCAGCATCAAGTTGGTCCCAGCAGGTCAATTATAGAGCAACAAACCTAGAAACCATTTTAGTCCAGACCTCTGTCCTCAGGAGGGACTTAGCTAACTCAGTCTGAACAAATGGATACAACCTGTTAAAACCTGCCAGAATGGAAAGTCTTTAACTTCCAATAATAGTCTGTTCCCAGCACTGCTTTTCAGCTGGTACATACTGGTACAGCTATACCAGTTAATAAAATACTGGAACACTTGTGAACAAGTTGGGATACAGTGACTACCCCAGGCCCGCTGAATGCCCCACTACCACCTTGTTCCCAGGAAAACTTTGTGACCCAGCAGCTAAAGGGCAAATGTCAGCCACAGCAAGGGACCTGTAGTACCTACCTGTGTAGGCATCCCTACCAAAGTATTGTTAAGCTATGTTGTTATTATCCTTGCCTGTCCCACTCAATATGGCTACCCTATTCCAAAACTTTCAGCTGCTATTATCTATAAATGCCATTCTTTAAGGTTGTTATTCTAAGTCTTTCATAATACAGCACCATTCCATATTCTCTTTCATACTCTCTGCACCAAACCCAGAGGCTCAACTCCGCAAACACTAGCTTCCCCCGCCTCTTGGTCTTTGTTTACACTGCTCTTCTGACTAGAGTAGCCTTCTCTTTCTGTATCCATTAAAATCTTACCAGCTCCTCAAGATCTCCTGAAATGTCACCATTCCCATGACATTAATTGAAAAAGCTGTGTCCCATTATCAGAAGTGTCACAACAGCATCTAGAGTCTACATTTGTAAAACTTAGTGATGGTTTCATATTGGGATTATTTTTACATGTGCACCTGAACTCCCCTCCTAAAGAGAAAGTTGTTCAGAGGGCAGAAGCCATAACCTCAGTCATCATTGTATCTAAGTCACACAGCACAATGCCTTGCTCAAGGTATGTGCTAAATTCACATTTGTTTAAATGAGTGAGTGGGCAGCTCTAATTATTTTGTCTCAGGGACCCATTTTCTATCTGTTAATGATTTGGGTTGCTTTTCTTTGAAGTTACTCCAATTGTGGTTGCATCTTTTTTTACATATGGAGCCCAAATTGTACACCATCGATATCTTAAACTACTGAGCTATTACATAAAGATGAAGCAGGAAGCCTGCTCCCCTGTCATTACTTTACCACCCTAGAGTTTTTGACTGCCATCTCTCCATATACTTCTTCCAGCACCAGACTGATGTACCAGTCACACTGGGATAAGCAAATGAATGGTTCTTGGTAATGAAGGGCAGCCTTAGAGATGACAGGAAAGCTGGTGGTAGAGTGTGCTGGCAGGGACTGCTACAGGGAGGAGGTAGGGTGGCTTGTTGGGGAGTAGAGCCAAGATGGGACTCTGGTTGCTGTGGTTGAGGCGATGGATATAGTCCTGGAAGGAGAAGTTTTACTACCCTGGTTGCTGTGGATTGGCCAGGGTGTAGAGGAGGGAAAGCCAGCAACTCCCTTCCTACCTCTCCCTGCTCTCCCTTCAGAGGAATAGCTCTGAGCTGGGAGTAAGACCTATAAGGACAAGGGGTCTTTGATACAAGATGTCTGTACTTCTCATAAACAAAGAAGGATGGGAGACAAGGAGTCAGAAACCACAGTCACTGTCCAAATCTCATTCCAAAATGAAATCAAGGGAAAAAGTAGAACCCAATGGGACAGCCAGCGTGAAAAGTCACCCTGTAGAGGCAATGGGTTTCAGGGTTCTGAGGGATCCATCAGTGTCCAAGCTTGGACTCTTGTTAACAATGATGGTTAAGGAGACAGAAAGCCAATTCTGGAATAGGAAACTGGGAGCATTGTTCTAGAGAAGAGTTAGTATGGAAAAGGAAACAAAAATATGGAAACCCAGTCAGAGTTAAGATTCTTCTAGAAGGGAAACCAAAGAGACCCAAGAATTGATGGCTAAGGATGAGACAGACAACCAGAGCCAAAATATGAGATTTGATTATGGCAGACTGCTTCTGGTCTCTGCTGACAAAGCACATTAGAGGTAAATTGTTGAGGGGTAGTGGGGGGAGAAGGGAGGTTACTGATTTTAGGGTCACAAAACAACTGCCTTCCTCTGTTTTTAATTTGTGCAGAGAATCTTACTGGCTACCACACTACTAATATTGAAAAGGGGTGTCCCAAGGAGAAAAGAAGAAAGGTCTCTCCCAGGGCCTCCCACCTGTACACACTCCAACTGGGCTCATCCACTTGGGACCATGAAGGGAATGGAAGAGTAGATTCGTTCTTTCAGAGGTAAAAACAAGGCTCAGAGAAGGGAAGAACTAGCCATGGGAAGGCAGATTTGGGTCATCGGGAGGAAGAACTCTCCTACTGAGAGCTGCAGAACTGTCTTCCTCATGATATGTTGAGCTCTCTAAAAGAAACCTTGGAGATTATGTGGCCCAAGCTCCCCCTTCTATTTTTCTCTTGATTCCCCAAATACTTAGAGACAGAACAAGGATAGGAAGACAGACTGAGGATAGGAACCTCAGTCTCCCAACTCACAACCAGAATTATTTCAACTGCAACACAGTAAGAGGTTCCACAGTAAACATTATCTCTACTCTGAACCAGCTCAGTTGCTGACCCTAGTGATTCCCTCTTTGGTTACAGGAGACAAAGCACCACACCCAACTCTGAGCAAAGCAACTGACACAAGGACATGGCAGAGAATCTTCTAACCAGTAATTTCGTCAGTTATTCCTTCTGTTTCCTGGGAGGGGAAAGTGGAGGCATGACAGAAGATGTGCTAGAACTGTGAACTCGGCCCCTTGCTTGGTCTTGGGAAGAGAATCTGGTAGGTCTGAAAGTCTCTCCACTTCTTCCAGCTATTACATTGACCTTTTACAGTCCCTGACACTTTCAGAGTTTTACTTGTTACTTCCACCAATAGTAAATAGTACATCATCCCGAAGAGCCGTACCTGTTGAAGTGAAAAGAGAGAGACGGTCCCCTCCACATTTTCCCAGGAGGAAGCTGAGACACATAAAAAAGTCGCCTTGGCTAAGTTAAAAGGCATTAAGTGGTCCGTGTGCTGTGCATTGTTTTCTTGAGTAGGTTTTGGGAGTTTGGGCTCCCAAGGAGGGCTTCAGATAACTAGCAGTAGGAATGGCCAGGACTAAGAGAGGGGACGGCTCAATGAGGAGGTGGGAGACTTGGAGGGAGAGAAAGGGGTTGGAAGGGGAGTGGCGTGGCCTACGGGAAAGGAGGGAGGAAAGGTGGCTCTAAGAGGTATTGTTAAAAATAAAGAACCGCGGAATATGCATCAGGAGAGAAAATGCAGCCAGCCTCAGAGAAAGCTGTGAGCAAAGTTTGGGCCTCACAGACCAGGGCGTGTGGCCTCGGTTGAGACGGCCGAGGGCATCCCAGACATAAATCTACAGCCCGCGCGTGGACCGCGCACGTCTCCTCCTGGGAGACCGCACGCTCGGTGCCGCTGGAAGTGCCCCAAGTCTGGGCCAGCATTTTCACAGGGCAGGGGGAGCTTCTCTTCCCGTCGCCCTCCGAGGAGAGAAGCAAGCAGCCCCGAGGATGCCCGACCCTATGTATCCCAGCGGCCAGGCCCGGCCTTGGCCCTTCCTCCCCCAGTAGCCAGTGGGGCAGCGCCGGGCACCTGGGGACTAAACGAGTTCAAAATCGCGTCCGAGGATGAGCGTCCGCTCTCCCCAGTGTCTGAGCCAGCGGTACGACCGGTTCCCACCTCCGCGCCCTCTCCACCCCCCCAACCCCCCGCCGCCTGGTGCTACTTACTCCGGTTCAGGGGATTCCGGCCGACCTGGGCCGACGCCACCAGTTCCAAATAAAGAGTCCAGAGCCCCACAGACACCACGGAGAGAACCAACAGCAGCCGGAAGCGCCGCCGCAGCAGCTTGACCGGGCGCAGGAGCAGGAGGAGCAGCGCGGCGCGGGGACTCCCCATAGCGCTGCGCCCGGGCAGCCGCCGCCAGCGCCAGCGCCACGGCCGGGCCCAGTGCCTCGGGCGTGTGGGGTCCCAACCCCAGTCCAGCGTCTCAGGGCTGAGCCGAGGCCGTCTCCCTCGGCCGCGCTCCAACGAGGTTCCGGCTCATGCTCCGCGCATCAGGGGTCTGTCAGCTGCACGGGCGCCTAGCGCCAGCCCCAGGTCCCTACAGGAGCGGAGCCCGGCTCCTCCTTCCCGAGTGTCCTCCACGCGCGACTCTCCTCTCCACGCCTCTCCCAGTCGTAGGCGAGCTGCCTCTCTCCCTCTCTGCTCACTCTCCCACACTGCCCACCAAGAGGTTCCCGAGGTGCAAGCCAACCCGCCCCTCCTCTCTCCTCCCGCCCCAGCTTCCTCCAGGCATTGGCCACGGCGCGGCGTACCCACCTGTCCCGCCCCCGCCCCCGCCAGGTCCCCACCCCGGGCACAGGTGGGCCCCGCCCCCAGGAGATCTGGGAAAGAGACTGAGTGCAGAAGGCGGTGAGGCCCCAGGACTGGTAGCTGGCGGCCCCCGCCCCCCCCCCACCTTGCCGACTGGGGATGGGTAGGGTGCAGATCGGGGCGGATTACTATGTGAACTCTACATGACTGAGGGAAACTGAGGTACCTCCCAGGTACCGGATCGTGGGGCTACCCAAGCAGAAGTGAAGCTGAGCAAATCCCGAACGCAGGTGAGGGCTTGTGTTGAGATGACACCTGAGATTTTGGTTTCAGGGGTTTTCCTGGCCTACACCGACCCTACTCTCTACTTTAGGTAACAAGAGTAGACATTATTAGTTGGGAGGTAATGGCCACTTCATTCAGCCATAGCTTCCTTTTCCAGGGAGGATACAAAGACCATTCCTTCCCAGCCTCAAATACATCTCCAGGAGGCACTGGGAATTTATATGGCCCCCAGGGTGAACCCCAGGTAACTTTTCCCAGACTATGATAAAATACCCGTTGGGAGAGAATAGATGGTAGAGGGTTCTGAAAAAGAATTAAAAATCACAAAACATAACTCATTGAAGTTGAAAAGATCATCAAGACATTCAGCACTATTCTAGTTCTCTGCCTTCAGGCAGGTAAAACATTATCTGATTTAAATGAGATAATTAAGGTCCAAAGGAACAGAGTGAATTTCCTCAGGTCATTCAGAAGGTAATAATGTAGTTTTATTTTCCACTGTTCCTCCTGAGAAAAATGGTCAGGAGACGATGGAGAAAGTGGAAATACAAAAGCATTCCGGATACTTTAAAATCAAAGTAATAACATGCAAATACTTTTCCAAGACAAGTTCATAGAACAAGAGGGCTGTGTTTTCCCTTTTTTCTGTTACCACCTCAGTCCACCTTGTCTCTACTGGACTATTGCAAATGTTCCTCAAATAGCTCCCTGGACTTCAGGCCCCCTCACACCACTCTAGCCCTTCTCTCTGCTACTACCAGCTACTAGTCTTTACAAAATTCTCTTACATATCTATACACCTGGTCAGAAATATTTAATGGCTTCTCAGTGCTTACTGATTAAAAGGCAAACTGCACATCTGAATTCAAGGTCTTCCAAAACCTTTTTCGCTTTGTGCTCCAACTAAAATGAGTTTATTCACTGCCCTTCAACACATTTTCTTTTCTAGTTGGTTAGGTTTGACCCTTTCTGCAAGGTTCATTTTGGGTTCCATGAAGCTTTGTTGGACCAACCCAGTCCTGCGCAACCCCACCTTCCTCAGGGCTTTAGTAGAATTTACAATGGCCCCACCCAATGATATGGACAGAGTTCACTTCTGACCAACTTCACTGTGAGGCTTCAAAAGTGGGAACTTCCAATCCTCAGTCTGTAGCATTAACTGGGAGGAAAAATTATCCTCTACCCTTCAAGTTCTTCTGGCTGAACTAATAACCAAATTAACACAAAACAGATTAGCAGTAGAAAAACAAATTGAAAGTTTAATAATATGTACACCATCTGTATGTATACATGGGAGAGACCCAGGAAAGCTAAGTAACCAAACTGGTGGGAGTCACCACCTTTTAAAATCAGCAAAACAAGAATTCGTGCAAAATAGAAACAGAGACATGGAAATAAAGAACAAACTGACAGTGACCAGTTTGTTCTCCAGAGTCAAGGAACATGTATAAAGGACCCGTGTGAGACAGGAGATAGTGAGGAAGGAGGAAACTCCGGAGGTGCCCCAAGGCTGAGACAGAGGATACAATACAGGACAGAGACCCTGTTCTGAGACCTGTTGTTCCCACTTTCTGGAAAAGTGCTGAATCATGGTGATTATGAATGCACCTGTGCAGACGATGCTACGTGACCCCTGCTTCATTATAATAGTATTATAATAAATTTACATTGTGCGATCCCCTTCTCCAGTGGGAGAAATCATGGGAGACTACATGCACAGTAGCTTTAAAGTAATACAACTACTTGTATGTGTGCAATAAAGCCCACCAAAACTAGCCAGGAAGGATCTGCCCTATAAAGAACAGACTTCCTCCAACCCCTGAGGTCAATTTCTGCTCAGAGTTGGCCCACTCCTATGTTCTGTGGAATGTACTATCATTTAATAAATCTTCTCTCTTTCTTTATAAACTGTGTGTTTGGTTCAATTCTTTGTCCACAATCACCAAGAACCTGGTTACCAGTGCCCACAGTGACACATGGACAAAGACAATGTGGGGGGGGAAAGGACTGAAAGTGGAAGATGGGGGAGGGGAGGGTAGAGGAGAGTAATAAGGGGGAAAATGAGAACAACTGTAACTGAACAAAAATTAATTTTTAAAAAACATTAAATAGGCCTGGCTGGTGTAGCTCGATGGACTGAGCTCAGGCCTGCGAACCAAAGGGTGGCCAGCTCAATTCCCAGTCAGGGCACAGGCCTAGGTTGCAGGCTAGGTCCCCAGTACAGAGCATGTAAGAGGCAACCACACATTGATGTTTCTCTCCCTTTCTCCTTCCCTTCCCCTCTCTCTAAAAATAAAAAAAATGAAATAAAATAAATTGTATTAATTCTATTCATATTTTATATGTAAATATAACATAAATTTATATGTAACTATAAATATCTATTTTATTCATATTTTATATGTAAATAAATACCACCTTTGGCTAAAGACAAAGATGTTGGGGACAGGGAGTCAGTTACAGGAGTTTACCAGGGCGAGCCCAGGAAGCAAGGGTAAGACTATTAATGCAGATTTAAGCCCACACCTTCTCCTTTGGTAGTGGGGGCATGCCTGGTACAGTGAAGGGAACACCTTTAGAAATTGAGATTTCCTTACATATAAATGTCCTTTTACAAAAGGTAAGTTCTACTTGGTTTTCAGACTTCTCCCAGGTCAGCTCTTTCATAAAATTAACCAGCCTGAAACAACCAATATCCCAAAGTGGTGCATTCTGGATTGGCAAACTCTGCTCCTCTTCACAGCATGATGCCCATTTGTCATTCAGTGACATTTGAGGGTGAAGGTAGCACCTGGAGTGAACATCCCCCAGAACTTTCAGTGTAGTTGTTTAGCAAAAGGTGAATCTAAAGGATAATTCTCTGATCATCAATAGCCTCAGGGAAATGTCTCTGTGAAGTTCCAAACCACAGCTGTGTGCACTTCCCATCTCTTTCTCCCCAAAAGACCAAGAAGGGAGAAGTCAACATGTATGTACAAGCTTGGCTGAAGCAGGTGGGAGGTGACCAGGGTCCCTGTAAATAGAGTCTCTCTCTCACTGTGGACAACCTGGCATGAGGACTGGAGGTAAAGCTGAGTCACTTTCAGGACTTTGTCATGGATACAGACCTCAAGACCAGCCTTCCTGACAAAACAGGCAATCAATTCAACCAACCAAACCCTTGAAGTGTCTACTATGTGGGAACCAGAAGATATGTGAAACAGAGAGCACGCTGTTACTTTAGCAGAAAAGCTATCTCATGTCAGAAAAACAAATCTGACATGGTAAAGGCTCAGTTTTTGGTCCAAAAAGTGAATTACAAAGAAATTCAGAAAAGGAAAAAGATTGCTCTAGAGCTTTAATTCTGTACCCTCCTCTTCTCACTTGCCGCACCTTTTCTTTTCCCCAGAGAGAAAGAGGAGTGAGAGAGAAACAGTGATCAGTTGCCTCTTATACTCCTCCAGTCGGGGAGAGGGGAGGGGGTGTGTACGGAACCTGCAACCCAGACCTGTGCCCTGATCAGGAACAGAACCGGGGACCTCTCACCTTGTGGAATGACGCCCAACCAACTGAGCCACCCCAGGCAGGGCATACTTTTTTCCCAGTTCAAATGCATTTTATTTTTAAACAACCTACATGACATGTTTTTTTTTTCTTAGAAACAATGCCTCCACTTGGAATAAATCAAGGTCAAAATAAATGAAGAGCTTAAGATAGCATCAGTCTTGTTTATTCAAGTCCTGGTGTGTGGATGAAAAGCAGTGGCCAGATATAATGACAGGTGACAGACCCAAATTGCCACATTTATTAATACTTTTCCATTTCTAAACTATCCTAAAAGGAAGATATATATGGGGTTGCACTATCCTCGCAGTAGTCCAGCAGAGCAACCATGCCATCTGGATTCATGTTGTCACCAATCAAGAACTGGCAGTTTTTGAAATTAGCACAGATGTGCTTGATTTGTTCTGCAGCCTGTCATAAAAGGCTTCACTCTTTCTGGTCTCTGTTTCTCCAGGTTCCCTTTGATTGATTTCATGTAATCTTTGATGTACTGCTCGTAGGCTGGGCTTCTGTGAAGCTGTTTTCCTGCAAATGATGGTTCATGACAATATCAATGTTGAGGTCCAAAACAGATGTTGAAAAGGGACAATCCCGAACGAGCCCCGGATAAAGTTAGGCTGACCAGGAACTAAAGTTAGGCTGACCAGGAGCAGGGAAATTTCTACTTCCTAAAAGGGCTAACCGCCAACTACTCAAAGAGCCTTTTGAATTTCCCTAATAAGCCAATGGCAATCAGCTGTTTAGAGCTAGCCAATAGCTAACAGCCACATCTGCTTCTGTTCAAAGCTTGCTTGTACGCCCCTATATAAGGACATAGCTGTAAGTGCCGAATGCGGCTCTCATCTGCAGCTCTCCTGAGCGTAGTGTCCTCGGACACTAAGAGAGCTCGCCCCTGTGCAGGTAAAACTTGGCCAATAAAGTAACATCTTGAAAATTCTGAAAGTCTCCGAACCTCTGTTTCTCGTGACAGCGGATGCAACAATTAACACCAGTGATGACTGTGCTTTCGGTACCTTCACCCTCCGGGCTATCAGCGGAGGCCTTTCCACCACTGAACGAGTCATCTATATGATCCTCTCTCCTACT